TCCGCGCCGGGTTCCTTAAAGAGAGCTTTTTAAACCCTAAACCCTAAACCCTAAACCTTACCTTAAAGGTTCCTCTTTAAGGTTTCCCTTCAAGGGGAGCCCATTTCAGAACCTTCTAGTTCCCTTTAAAGGGAGACTCCCAGGGATCCTTAAAGGGTAGGTACCTTTAAAAGGGTTCCTTTAAAAGGGGTCTCTAAGACTATGAGGGTCTCTTTAAAGGGGACCCATACTGGTTCCCTTAAAGGGAACCCCACCGTAGAACCTTGTAGGTCCCTTAAAGGGAACTTAAGGGTTCCTTGAAAGGGTACCTGTATGTAAAGGGCTCCTTTTAAAGGGTTTAGGGTTTAGGGTTTAGGGTTTAGGGTTTAGGGTTTAGGGTTTAGGGTTTAGGATGGTTCCTTTAAAGGGGACCATAAGGGTTCCTTAGAGGGTACTCTGAAGGGGTCACTTGAAGGGATTGATGAGGTTTCCTTAAAGGGTGCCGTGTAGGGTTTTCTACAGGGTACTATAAGGGTCTATGGTTCAGGGCGCTATATGGTTTCCGAAAAAGGAGCGGGAAGAGAGACAGGGAGAGACAGAGTGATGGAGGGACGCCGGGAGGGAAGGAGACACAAACCCAAACCCTGCGAGGAAGTGATCCCCGAAAACTCCAAGACAATGAACAGCTATAGGACCTCTTCAAGCACTGCGCATGGCTCATCTGCTTCGCCTCCCTAGAGCAGTAATATATAGTGACCGATGGCCACAGTCATGATCCTAAACAGTAGTGCTCTGACTGTTGTCTCTCAATCGAAAGCATCGAAAACGAAGCCGCGCATATGCGCTCTCAACCTATACACGTGTGTATGTGTGTACACACACCCAGAAGTACGCAAATGGATCCGTCCAAGCATGCATACATGCATACGTACATATAGGTACCACTGTATCACCAGACATTGGCACATTGAGGTGTCAATCGACATGGGAACTGCTGAAGCTCCACAATCAATCCACTTTCGGCGTGTGCAGGTGATGAGGTGCACCTCAGTGTGCCGGAGACTGAGTACCACCGGTTGTCATGTATGCATCAACACCATGGTTATCAGAACCATTATGCTTGTTATTTTTTTCTACTAGCCCTGTTCTTGAATGGTTGCTATGATTACGTACTCTTTGTTATGACTCCTGCTAGACATCCTAAACCCTAAACCCTGTCATTACAGTGGCTATGATTCCTACTCGAGTTAGTGCAACTTTTGCATGCACCGCAGAGGCTGACCGGCAGGGGTCAGACCCATACTCCGCAAATCGCATAGTACAGAGTATAGAGGCCGGAACAAGTGACTACGGTGATTATTCCTTAGGGTTTCCCTATAATGGGTGTAGTAGAATATACCCCAAAACCCTATTCTCCGTATTAGCGGCCCTGTTTTAGCAGCCCTTGGCTGCAAACCCTAACAGGGTTGTACAAGGTTTTGTGTACGTCCTCTCTAAGGATCAGGGTTTAGAGTCTAAGACACCAAGCCCACGTCCAAGGCATTTCCAGATGCCCAAGTTTAGCTCGGTTCTCCGGCGCGTGATGAAGGCTTTCTCGAACAAGCGACCCGGTTGAAGTGGCTCCTGAAGAAGCTTTCGTGATTTAGAGTTTGAGTTCGGGTTTAGGGCAGTTCAGGGTTTTTGGGTTCCGGAGTGTAGGGCTTTAAGGTTTTTGATCGGTTTTTAGGGCCGGTAGTCTGACAAGCAGGGAACTCATTTAGGTAGTAACCTGGTGGTTACCGGTGGGGAGGGGGGGCTGCCCAAAGGTAAGAAGCCGATACCATGAGGCAAAGCGTCGGAGTTGAAGCCGGTAGGGTCACGGTGAATTTTCACAACTAACTTGAAACCTAAACTCAAAGCTTTAAGCCCTTCATTTAGGGTGATCACTGCGGCGTCTTTTCAATTCCGCCCTTCCTCCCATCATGACATCCGAGGATCTTGGACGTCATTTTCGGTGCTGCGCATGAGGTGCACAGTGTACAGACGAAGGGTTTCAGGGTTTCGGGCTTCGGGCTTAGGGTTAAGGGTTTAGGGTTTAGGGTTTAGGGCACCGGTTCACCAGAACCTTCTAGAGAACGGGGTATCGTGGGAAACAGCTCCCTGTGCAACATCGAAGTTTGAGGCAGGTTGCTCCAATGCGAGTTCCCCGCAGGATGTGTCTGTTCATCTCAGTTCATATGTGTTGCGTCAGTCTGATGTCCTGGTTTATCGAAACTACACTTGAGCTTGAATCAAAGCTCACAATCCGGGGATAGTCTTACAAACTGTGTATGCTGTCCTGTGGATGGTAGGTGAAAATTAGCTGCGTAAAAGCACACAAACCTCTGGAAACACCCCTCCAAGCCTCGTGAAGCCCTGACGAAATCGACCCTTCTTGAGCCCTAATCCGTAAACCCAAGCCCTTAACTCCCAAGCAACCTAAACCCTGCACCCTAAATTTTAAATCCAAACCCCTAAATCCCAAGCAACCTAAACCCTAACCCGAAACCCTAAACCCAAACCCTGAATTCCAAGTAACCTAAACCCTAAACCCTAAACCCTAACCCTTAAGGGACCCGTAACATCCCAAGCGTCGGTTCTTGTAGAGACCTAAGTATCCTCCAAAGATCGTTCTATTCAAAGGCCCTGAAAACCAAGAACCCTTAAAGGAACCCTTTAAAGCACCTAAACCCTAAGCCCTAAATTCCTAAACCCTAAACCCTTAAATCCTAAACCCTAAACCCTAAATCTTAAAGCCTGAACCCTAAACCTTAAATCCTAAACCCTAAACCCTAATCCCTGAATCCTAAACCTTAAACCCTAAACTCCACATCCTAAACCCTAAACCCTTTAAACCCCCAAACCTGGGCCTCGCAGGACCCGCCACCGGTTGTTCTCGCCGCACTGGGGGACGATCTGAGATCGCTCGAGTCACAGCTGGCCTGAGGAAACAAAAAAAGCTTATAGGTTTTGTCTGGGGTTTTGGGTTTTGGGTTTAGGGTTTTGTCTGGGGTTTAGGGGTTTAGGCTTTCGGGGTTTAGGGTTTAGGGGTCTAGGGGTTTTAGGGGTTTAGGGGTTTAGGGTTTAGGGTTTCGAGGAGCTTTAGAGGGTTCAGGATTCAGGAGCTTTCCGGGGTGGGTCATGCAGGATTTATATCATCCACAGTATTTCAGACGGTTTGGGGTTTAGGGTTTAGGGTTTAGGTGACCATTGCCAAAGGACCCTAAAGCCTCCCCAAAACCGAAACGGCAAGCCCCGAACCATAGCCCTCAACTTAAACCCTGCAGCCCTGAAGCCCAAATGTCGGGGCCTTAATAATTAGAATAGGGTTTTGGGGGTCCTTTCTAGTAGAATTATAACAAGGAGCCCCTGAAATAATATGGGTAATGATTTAGGCCCCTACATTAACGCTACACCCTAATATAACAAGGAGCCCCTGAAATAATATGGGTAATGATTTAGGCCCCTACATTATCGCTACACCCTAAAGCCCTGCAATAGAACCCAAGGTCCCCAAATCCTAATCTAAAACCCTGAAGTTTAGGGTTTAGGGTTTAGGGTTTAGGCTTTAGGCTTTAGGGTTTACGGTTTAGTGAACTACACCAAACATTTCAAAATCCTAAGCCCTTAAACCTTAAACCCAAACTTCCAAAATCCTAAAGAGCTTACTATAGAGGCTTGAACAAGTAGAATAAGGTTTGGGGGGTTTATTATACCATAAGTATAGTAACGAACAACCCCCAAACCATATTCTAATTCTCAAGGCCCCTACACTACACAGTCTCTGTTGTCAGGGCCCTACACCCTAAATCCCTAAACCCTAAACCCCTAAATTATGACGAATAGAATCTTTCTTCCAATTTGGCGGTTCATGACATGCAGTAGGTGACGGACTTGCCCCCATATGAGTCTGGTAACCCTAAACCCCTAAAGCCCTAAACCCTAAACCCTAAACCCCTAAAGCCCTAAACCCTAAACCCCTAGACCCTAGACCCTAGACCCTAGACCCTAAACCCCTAAACCCTAAACCCCTAAAGCCCTAAACCCCTAAACCCCGAAACCCTAAACCCTAAACCTCCAAGCCCCTAAACCCTACAGCCCTAAAGCCCTCAACCCCCTGCTGTCAGGGCCTGACTGTGGGCGAGCAGATTCGTTTCTCTGCGGACCTCAGGAACCCAAAGGCCTGGTCGGGGTTGGAATTTGCGGTTTGGGGACAGCAAAAAAGTGGTGTTTCGGACTGCCCCTCAAATCCGACATGCAAAAAGTGGTGTTCGGACTGCTCCTTTGAGGGGTGTAGGTTTGGGGTTGAGGGTTCAAGGTTTGGGGTTTAGGATTTAGGGATGTAGGCTTTAAAGTTGGGGGTTAAGATTTGGGGTTTAAGGTTTCGGGTATAAGATATAGGGTTTAAAGTTGGGGTTTAGTGTTAGAATTGTCGGGTTTACTCTCCCAGCTATTGTAAGCATTTTCTTATCCCAAGGCGCAGAGTCCCCTACATGGTCTTGCAAGGGAAACCTTGGGCTATGTGGAAGCGCTAACTTACAGCAGTAAAGTCCGATGGAAATGCAAAAGAATGAAAATACATGGTTCTGTGACGCCCATGTAAGGCCCTTGTAAGACGACCCTACACAGCCTTGGAAAGCCGTTTAACCTTTACTGTAACCCTTTTTGGGCACTAGAACCCCTATATACTGCAAATGCCAAAGGCTAACCTCCAGTTCCCTTAGGATACTCGACAAGTAAAAATTCCTCAACCTTAAACCCGAACCCTGAACCCGTAAATCCCTAAACCTCTAAACCCTGAAGCCGTTGTTCTAGACCAGTTAATTATAGCCCCTTAAACCCTCAATCCTAAGGCCCCAAAAAAACCCCTGCAGAAACCAGGAGATGATTACCATATACCCTAAACCCTAAAGCCCTAAACCCTAAACCCTTAATCCTAAACCCTAATCCGTAAACCCTGAACCCTAAACCCTAAACCCCAAACCCCAAACCCCTACGCCCAGGAGATGACGACGCACCATCGGAAGCTGATCTACGAAGACGTCCTGAACGTCATGCAGCTGAGCCGGGGCCCCCGGAGTCCCTTCAAAGGGTTAAGGGTTTAGGGTTTAGGGTTTAGGGTTTAGGGTTTAGGGTGATTTAGGGTTTATAGGGTTTGAGAGTCCCTTTTTAAGGGCTTCCTCTGGGGGAGGTTTGATGATTTAGGGTTTGGAAGGTTTAGGAGTAAGGGGTTAGGGCTTAGGGCTTAGGGTTTAGGGTTTAGGATGTAGGGTTTAGGGTTTGTGGGGGTGGATGATTTAGGGTTTAGGGTTCAGGGCTTAAGGTTTGGGGGTTTAAAGGTTAGGATTGATGGTTCAGGGTTTCAAGGTTTGGGTTTAGGGATTAAAGGTTTGAGGTTTAGGGTTAGGCTGTAGGATTTATGGTTTTAGGGTTGCAGCTTAGGGTCCAGGATTTTAGCGCACGCCCTGCAGGGTTCTGATACGCATATTTGAGGGGTGTATGAGACGACCCTGGGATTCTGTGTTGGGGGTTTGAGTTTAGGGTTTGGCAGGGTTCGAATCTGGGGAACTCAATGAGAGTCTTGGGGCTTAGCTGTACAAGGTTTGCCGGAGGAAGGGTTTTACAAGGTCGTCAAGACCCTAAACCGGAAACCTCTAAACCCTCAACCCTAAACCGTTCGTATAAGCTTGGGATGTGTTTTTGGTGAGGCCTCTCATACGAAGGATCCTCCCAGTTACGGATTCTAATTCCTTATTCTTACACCCAAGGGACAAATAGGAGGGACCCCCTTCGGAGGGACCCCTAATCCTAATACCCTATAGAACCCTTATATACCCCTTATATAGCCTCCTAAAGCCCCGAAAAAACCCCAAGGGCCCCCTTTAAGGGTCCCTCCTTTCGTCCCTTGCCCAAAGGCTCCATGTACCTTTATAGTAGATACTTAAGCCCTAAAGTACCTATATAGGGACCCTTTTAAGGCTTAAGTAACTACTAACCCTAAACCCTAAACCCTAAACCCTAAACCCTAAACCCTAAACATGGAGCCTTTGGGTTGATACATTGGGGCCTTGGCTTTTATCGTATCCCAAGGCCAGTTTTGGGGTCTCGGAGTCTGTGGTTTGGGGGAGCAGGGTCTCGGGGCCCCCCGGTTGGGGAGGCTTAAGGTTTTGGGTTTAGGGTGTTAGAGTTTAGGGCTTTAGGGCTTTAGGGTTTTGGGTTTAGGGCTTTAGGGCTTTAGGGTTTAGGGTTTAGGGCTTTAGGGCTTTAGTGCTTGGGGTTTAGGGTTTGTTAGGGATCGGTAGTCGGGCAGCCTTTAACCTGTTCGGAATACGCCGATCCCTACATCCTTCAGTCCTGTCGGGATTCTGGACAAGTGAGGGGTGTAGGCCGAAATTTGGTGTTTATGGCTTTGGGCTGTTGGGGGGTTTGGGTCATACTTGGCAAGACCATCCCTCGGGGTTCTTGCCTCAAGAGGAACAATAGTATCACATTCACCAGAACCCTCTATTTTCAATACAAAGGACCCTAAACCCGAAACCCTCCAAACCCTACACCCGACACAAAGGCCCCTGTATTTCAGACTGCCGTCCGGAAGAATGACGAAGCCTTTCGAAGGCTTAAACCGAAGTTTAAGGCTTAGGGTTCAGGGTTTAGGGCTTAGAGGGTTTAGGGTTTAGGGTTCTTAGGGTTTCTTAGCCTTTGGGTTTAGGGTTTAGCGGGTTCAGAGGGTTTAGGGTTGAGGGTTTACAGGGTTTAGGTTTTAGGGGGTTTAGAGGGTTTAGGGTTTGGGATTTAGAGTGTTTAGGGTTTAGAAGTTTTTGGGTTTAGGGTTCAGGGGCGTCTGGGGGCTTTGGGTTCACAGGGATACGGGTTTCGGACTGCAGGGTAGGTTTAATTAGGGTCCTTAGACCGAAGGCAACATCCAGAACTCCATCGTCGGTGGATTGGAGCAGCGCGGCATTTCCGGAGGTTGGCCACGAACCCTAAGCCCTAAACCCAAACCCCAAACCCTAAATCCCTAAACCCTAAACCCCTAAACCCGAAACCTTAAGCCTAAACCCTAAACCCGAGGGTTAGACACCATTTGGGCCCTAAACCCCTAAACCCTAAACCCCTAAAGACTAAACCCTAATAGCCTAAACCCCTACACCCTCTGAACCCTAAGCCTTAAACCTAGACCCTAAACCCAAGGGTTTTCTACACCATTTGGGGGTTAAGTGATGAGAGCTTCAGGCTTTAGGTTTTAGGGTTTAGGGTTTAGGGTTTAGGGTTTAGGGCTACGTCTGGCTCTTCGGGTCCTCCCGATACCATCGAAGCCGGAGAAGCCATACGGTTGAGGATATACATCCTGCATTACTAATCGTAAAGAATATACCATAATTCCCATATTTTGGTGTCCTTAAGGTAATGCAGGATTTATATCATCAACCGTAGCACTGCCATTTCTTAGATCCTTAATATACAATTATATTAGAACCTTCCCCAAAGCACTCTTCTAATTATTACGGCCCCTAAGGCCTTACACTGAGCCCTATGACATCGAGCCCTTGTCATAGAATCCTTCGGGAACCCCATTCGATTTATTACGCCCCCCGGCCCTAAACCAAAAGCCAAGTGTCCGTCTTGATGGTTCCATCGAAGCTCCCGGTTGATGATATACATCCTGCATTACGCATAAGAAGGAATATGCCAGAATTCCCATAGTTTAGGGTCCTCAAGGTAATGCAGGATTCATATTATTAAAACCCTAAACCCTAAACCCTAAACCCCAAACCCTAAACCGTAAACCCTAAGCCATAAACCGTATATTATCAACAGTCCCCTGCGCGCCAGGGCAGCGCAAGCGCGTGTCTATTGGCCTGGAGCTCGCAGCGGACCGAACACCCGACCCGGGATTTAATGTTCAGAGGGTTTAGGGTTTAGGGCTTAGGGGTTTAGGGGTTTAGGGGTTTAGGGTTGTGGGTTTAGGGAATATTCAGGCCCAAATAATTACCAATGTTATTCCGAAGGGCTCCTTAGTATGAATATATCATCAAGGAGCCCAAAACCCCATTCTAACTACATTAGGGTTTTGACTTGGGGGTTTAGGGTTTGGTTTTTGTTAACGGCCTAGCTTTAAGGGGACTTGGGATTTCAGGTGTAGAATGTAGGAATACTAAGTCTTCAGAGTCCAGCTGAGGGTTTGGTGTTTTAGGGTTTAGGGTTTAGGGTTTAGGGTTTTAGGTTTAGGGTTTAGGGTTTAGGGTTTCACTTTGGTAGAGGTGTGGATAGGGCTTACGGAGATCTGGGGTTGAGGGATTGTATAGGCTGGCTTGGCGCCCTAACCCTGAAACCCTGGACCCTAAGCCCTAACCCCTAAATGGGGGTTTCCGAAAATTAGGGGTACCTTATTTTGGGGTCCTTATAATAAGGAACCTATTATATAGGGTACTATAATAGGGTACCCTATTTTTGGAAACCCCCAAATCCTAAACCCTAAACCGACAGTCGGGTGTCATAAGGATCCTCGGGTCAAACGTAGAGGGCCTCGACGATGGCAGCTTGCCACACCCGGAACCCCTGAACCCCACAAGCCCTACACCCCA